TGAGTCTTGCATGCCGAAGGCCATGAGCAAACACCTGCTGCGGCCCGACTTGAGAACCTTGACCTCAGCCCATCACCTCCACTTTTTGGAGGTGAACTTAATGATGTGGAGCGATTCCTTGGTAGTCTACAACAGAGTTTGAGCATCCTATGTAGAGGATGTAAAACATCTGGTTTTTACAAACCTCTGCAAACACACCTATGGATTGCACAAAAATCGCTTCATAGTTTGGACTAGAGAAGGTAAAGAAGTTAGTTGTTGAAGGTGAGTGGACACAATGCACTTCCCAGGCAGGAAGAATGTAGTTCACACTGCCACTGCATTTCTAGCAGGGTGGAGACATCCTCTTACCTAGATATTAGACCTGAATCCCCTGGCCATGTGACCTTAATGACAGTATCTCAAGCAATTACTTTAATTTGAGACTTCATAATGATAATCAAAAGATAACCTGAGATTGACCCAATGTGGTATGCTCTGTAGCAGGTACAGTCAGCAGACAGTGCAACACACACACACCACATATACACCCCCACATACACACCACATATACACACCACACATACATCCCCATATACACACTCACCACACACACACACACACAAATACACATCACATACACATCCGACACACATACACACACACACAAATATACATCACATGCACACCCCACACACACATATATACACACACAAATACACATCACACACACACACAAATACACATCACATACACACACACACAAATATACATCACATGCACACCCCCCACACACACACAAATACACATCATATGCACACCCCACAAACACATATACACACACACACACAACACACACACACACACACACACACACACACACACACACACACTATTTATCTCCTACAGCTGAAGTCCCCCCGGGCCCAGAGAGCTATTGAACCACTGAATAGTTGCCCATTTATATATGTGTATATGGATGTAGATATTCATTCAGTTACCTGTTTTTTATTTAGAGACAGGGTCCTACTATTTAGCTCTGGATGGCCTGAAAGTCACTATGTAAACCACGTAAGCCTCAAGTTTGTGGTGATCCTCCTGGCCCTGCCTCCCAAGTGCTGGGGTCACCAGTGTGAGCCACCATGCCTAACTAGATTGTTTCTTTAAGAGCACCACTTGCGGCCACCACCATGATTTGAACGCAGTGGTCAGGCTGGGCATGGTACAGACGGGTAAGAGCCGAGTCTGCAGGGAGCTTCTTATTTCAATTAAATTTATTTTCAACATCACATGCTAACTATCACCGTGGGCAGTTTGTACATGTTTATGTAGCAGTTTAAAATGAACCTGTGTCATGTCCAGCCTCATTAAACAACTACTTCCTCTCATTTCTTCAAGGTGCAGATGCCGAAGCTCTTTCTTGCATCCATGTCCTGCTTATTGTTACCTAGTCATTCTACACAGTACCAGAGACGTTTACTCCTTTCTAACTGTAACTCAGCAGCTGTTCATTCTCCTTTCCACATCCTCACTCCACTCACCCCAGCTGGTAACCATCATTCAACTCACGTCTCCAAGATCAACTCTGGGAGTGTGAGTGTGTGTGTGTGTGTGTGTGTGTGTGTGTGTGTGTGTGTGTGTGTGTATACACTCGTGCATGAGTGAGCCACATTGAGCTGTATCTGAAGACTTTATTCTTCTTCCCTAATTTTAGATCCAAATCCACCAGATTTAATTAATTAAAAATTAAACTGAAACTATTTCATTGACATTTTCAAACCCTTTATGTAGAAATAAATTTAGCAAGAGCCCAACAGCAGCTGGAAAGCATCACAGTGGAGAGAGGCTGCTGCACACACCCACGAGGACACTGAGTGGTCCTATGCTTTCCCAGAATGTAGTTCTGCCTGCTATTAATTTGCAAACATATGGCTTGGACTTGTGCTTTCAGAAATGAGGTCTAGGAATTGCTAAGTGCAGCCTAGCACAGACCCCATGAAACATCAGAGCTGGGATTTCCAGGGGGAAAGGGAGCCTGCCTGTCCAGTTCCTCCATGGGTGAACACAGCCAGGGCACAGCAGCCTGCAAACACCAGTCAACTGACACAGCTCTCCAGAGGATCCCTCCTCCTTCCGGTCCCAACTCTGCACACAGAAACCCCTTTGCTAATTTGAGAGAGGTGCACGCCAACAGAAGTGCGTGTTTAATGAAAAGCAGCTTGCTCGCTCGGCTCAAGTCAAAGGCTTAGAGTATCAAACGTGGCTCCGGGCTTCCCCACTGCAATGCACATAGCTTTGAACGGAACCAGCAGCCATAATGCTGGCCCAGATCTGAGACAGGGGGTCCTACAGCTCACAACACATTTTTCTAGGTATTTTTTTTTATTCATCTACAAAGAATCAGGAAGAATATGAAACTAAAAAGCCTTATTATTACCTGCACAAGAGGGCCATTGAGGCTGGCTAAAGTCAGTTCAAGGCTTTGAAGATTAATGGGCCCATATAAATGTTGGTGTGTTATGAGTTCTCTCCTTGACATTAAACAGAGCACGCAAGACTCGCACATAAAACGCAGCGAGGAGCCCGGGTTGTAATTAATGCCATAAAGGTCTCTTTATCAGATTCCATTCAGGCGTCACAGAGGGTGATGAAGAGCCAGCCAAGCACTGTTTGTTCTGGATGAGAAAAGGGGCCCTGAGTTGACGTGGTCCTCAAAAATGTCACTGCTTGCAAAGTCAAAAACCAGAGTGACAAGGACTGCTTTTAAGTGCACAGAGACACTTCTAGTCAACTTGGAGGGTCAGTCCCTGGAGGACCATAAAGTTCCAATCAACCCCCACCGTACCACGCTCCCCTGGATTTAATGGGGACAGGCTGGAGTGGCTTTGTGACTTCAGCACTTCGTAAGTCCCAGGATATGGGGTAGGAGAGTTTGCTTAGTATGCATAAAACCCCAATTCGATCCCCAGCACCACACAAACCAAATTTGGCAGCACATGCCTGGAGTCCCAGCACTTGTGAGGTAGAGGCAGAAGGATCATGCATTCAAGGTCATTCTCAGATGCATAACAAGTTGGGAGCCAGCCTGGGCTACTATCTCAAAAATAAAAGATGTACATACAAAAAACCCCGAGGTTCTAGAAAACCCTACCTTCTCACAAGGCCAGCATGTCCCATGTAGAGATACACCAGGGTGCTAGGGGTCAGAATGCAGCTGGCAAAGGCTGATGGGAAAAGGATTCATGCTGATCTCAGCAACTCTCCCAGGAAAATAAAAAGCATCCAAAGCAACAGGACAGTCTGTGAGGTCTCAGTTACGTACATACTACACAGCATGGCCCAGTGGGGTCCCTGTGACCCTGTGACAGACTTCATGAAGTCCTCTCATACTTCAGACACTCTGGCCTGTACTAGGTGCTGAGAGGGAGCTGGGCTGGGAGCTGAAGAGCGAAGTTAGAGATGGCCACACCCGGTGGAGCTGTGCACAAGGGTGATCACATTGTAGCAACAGGACAAACACCCCGTGCCTCAGCTGTTCTGATGGGATAAATTGTGCCCCTCAAATCCATAAATTGAAGTGCAAAGGCCTAAACCCCTGCATTGAAGACAAGGTCATTAGAGAGATGGTAATGTTAAATGATGTCCTTAGCAGTTGATGGCAGACTCATCAGAGCACAAAGAATGGGTAACTAGGAAGCACTCAGCCCTAAATGAGACACTTACACCATACCCCCTCCCCACATGGCTCATGGAACATGGCAGGAGGGGAGGGGAGATTGTAGGAGCCAGAGGTCAGGGAGGACGGGGGTGAAACGGTGTCTTCCGAACATGACAGGGTGGTGGCTCTTGTGAACTCGCAGCAGCTGTGGCTGCCGGCACAAGATCAAGCCAGTCCACATCTCAGCACAGATGGGGCAGGGGTGTGCAAAGCCCCATCCCTAGCTGAGGCATTTTGAGTGGGGAAAGTCGGTTTTCCTCGGGGGAGGGACCTGGCTGGTTGCCCGTGCTCCAGGAGATGGGACACTCATATGTCTGAGCACAGTATTGGGTTCAGTGGGTTCCAGAAAGACATGAAGTCATGGGGGGACATGGTAGGGATGGTAGAGAGCAGAGTCTAGGATAACTTGAAGTGGGGTGAGGGTTTGATACGATCAAAATACATTGTCTATATGAAAGAATAAACTTTTTTCTTTCTCTTTATTTATTCTATGCATCTATTACATCATGTATCTTGATCCCTTTCATTTCCCCATCCCTTTGCATCCATCCTCTGCCCCTGTATACCCCCCAAAAATAAAACAAAATTTAAGAGAAAAAAGGGGGAAGAGAAGGGAATTAAAAATCTTGTCATAGAAGCTGCAGTGTGACACAGTGAGTCACGCAGTAAACCCCTTTTTCTGTATATCTTTACTTGCAAGTGTTCATTGCAAAGTCACTGATCTGGTTTGGGGCCTCTGGATTCTACTAAACTATCAATACTGAGCCCTCATTAGGACTCTTCTTGGATATCTCGCTGTTGCCCTGTATTGTGGAAATCCTGCAGCTTTGGGTCTGTGGGTCAGGTCCCTTCACCTTCTCCAGCAGATCATAGATGGGGTGGATATTGGGGAGGGCAAGCCATAGCCCTGGATCTGGGCCTGGGCAGCTGCAGGGTTGGTCTACCAGCCAGTTCTCCCCTGGCCTCACCACCAGGGTGAGCTCTCCAGCACTGCCCTGGCTAGTTCACCTCTTACAGCAATGAGCAAGAGTTGGGGCCCGTTCTCCTGTTTTCACGTGCTCAGGACTGGCTTGCCCACGCCTGTACCATTAGGGCCAGCTCCATTGTGTCACCCATGTGAAGTACAGGGGCCACTCTTCCCAGTGCGGCAGCTGGTGAGGGGTAGGGATAGTCTCCCATTCTTATGACCCCAGAGCCAGCTCCTCTACCTGTCTCAGGTGTTGATGGGTGGGAGGGGGGATCTCTCCTCTGTCCATGTTAACACATGTTTGATGAGTAATTGGGACAGCTCTCCCACACTTACAACTTTGGAGCGGGCTCAGCCACACTTCCACCGCCAAGGTTGGCTGTACTGTGCTGCCCAGGTGAGGTGCAGGGCCTGCTCTCCCAAGCGTTGCAGCTGGGGGGGGGGCAGGGACAGCTCTCCCGCGCTTGTGACCTCAGGGCCAGTCCTCACACCTGCTTCCGGCATTGATAGGTGGGATGGGGGTGGGGCACAACTCTCCCTCCCATGCTGCCACAGGACAGATTCGTGATGGGGACAGCTCTCCCTTGCCCGCTACTTCGGGGCTGGCTCATCCACGCCTGTGCCAAAAAGGTTGTCTCCATTGTCTTGCCCAGGCAAGGTGCAGGGCCTGCCCTTCCAAGGGCTGTAGCTGGTGGGAATCAGGGCCAGCTCTCCCATTCTTATGACCACAGCTCTCCCATCTGCCTCCGGTGTAAGAATAAACTTTTAAAATGAGGCCCTTGGGGTACGTGCTGATCCACTCTCATTGGTATTCATGGGGGTCACAAAGACCCCAGAAGAAAAGCCATATGAAAATACATTGAGCTCAGCAGGATGGTGGTGCACACCTTTAATCCAAGCACTCAAGAGGCAGAGGCAGGAGGATCACTTGTGAGTTCGAGACCAGCCTGATCTATAGAGCAAGTTCCAGGAGAGCCAGGGGTATACAGAGAAATCCTGTCTCAAAAAAAAAAAAGAAAGGAAGAAGAAGGAAGGAAGGAAGGAAGGAAGGAAGGAAGGAAGGAAGGAAAAAGAAAAAAGGAAGGAAGAAAATACAATGAGATAACTATCCATGAGTCAGAAAAGATACCAAGGGGAAATCAAATATGCCCAGGGCTTGACCTTGGACTGAAGGACTGCAGAAGCGTGAGAAAACCCACTTCTTCTGAGGCCCCCAGGCTATGTGATTTGCTATAACTCTCTGAGCAAATACACTTCATTACCATTAGAGAGCCAGGGGCCACTTGACTCCCCAACTTGGACACCAAGGCAGCACACTGCAAGCTCAGTGTTCCCTGGTTATACCAACCCCACTCCTGACCTCCAGAGACCAGGCAATATCTGACTCCTCAGCTCCAGGAATGAATAAGCAGGTAAGGCAGTAGGAGCATTCTCACTGAGGTACCCTCTCCCCCAGGAAGCCTTCCTTGACTATTTCCCTTCCTCTGCCCCAGCCTGCAGTACACAGAAGAGAAGACAAGATCATACACAGCCTAAAACCACTGGGTATGAATCATCTAGAAGGAGACTGCCTGGGCATTCTCCCCACAAAGATAGAAATGCCATCAGGTCCAGTTGCCCTGAGTCTGGGTGTTATCCAAGAGAGATGAAGTGTGACAAAGAGATGCTCGCCCTGCCTGCATCTGGCACTGCTCACAACCCTCAGGTGTGCACTCGTCAAGCGACTCCAGGCAGAGGAGTGGACGAAGAGAACACAGTACATGCAACACAGTAAGTACTATTCAGCCTTGAAAAAGGAAGGAATCCTGCAGTTGGCAGCAACTCAAATGAGCCTGGAGGACAATGCTAAATGAGACAAAGCCAGACACCGGGAACAGGTGCTTTGGAGTCTAACTTACACACAGTACAAAAAAAAAAAAAATCTCTTAGAAGTAGAGAGAGGTTAGTAGACAAGGTCACTGGAAACTGGAAGGGAAGCAGGGTATGAGCGTAAAGAAGGGAAGGGTGAAGTTGCACGAGGCATAACTTCAAATGTTCTGTGGCACGGTAGAATAGCTATATCTATCAGCAGTTATATATGTCTTTCAATCATTAACAGAGAAGATTCTGGATATCCCCAGTACAAAGGAATATCAGAGGTGACAGACACTCGGACCCTCACAAATCCATGTAATCACTACATTTTTGTATGAGTACATTTTTTAATTTATTGCGTTCATTTGTGCCGGGAGCAGAAGAGAGAGGACACATACCATGACGCACATGTGGCGGTCAGAGGAAAACTTGCAGTAATCAGTTCCTTCCTTCCACCCAGTGGGTCCTAGGGATCAAACTCAGGTCATCAGACGTGCAGGGCCGTCTCACTGGACCTGTACACACGCATTTCAGCAGCATGCTGTGTCTGTGAATACACACAAGTGTTATGGGTCAATTAAAGCTCCGGGAAAATGTCTGAGTGGCTTTGCAGACGGAAGACATCATGTTTCCGGGGTGTCCTTGGTTGCCATAAGCAGCCCTCCAGACAAGAGGAAATCCATTCCAGAGGCTGACACAGCTGTGGAGCCTGCCAAACAAAAGGAGGAAGAAGCCAAAATGGAGGCTGGGGCGCTCAGATAAGAAGGAAAGGAAACAATGGGCTCCAGGCTGCTTCTGAACACTCTTGTCCCCGTTTGTAAGGACCTGGGCCACCCCCTCGGGGCCAGGGACCAAAGTGTATCTGCAGTGTATTTTCCCATAAACAAACACGTTTTTTTCTTAAGTTAAATGATATCAAAAGGATTTTCTATTATCCTAGGATGTTAAAACAATTAAACAGTACAGCCATATCCCACAAGGCTGTGTATTCTATGAGAAGATGCTAATATCTGTTGATGGACCGTGATGAATTAGTTAATCACAGACATCAAAACACTTTTATTTTGAATGTGTATATGTGTGTGTGACTGTGTTACTGTGAGTGTGTGTGTGTGCATGGAGACCAGAGATTCGGCTCAGGCGTCATTCCTCAAGATGCCATCTACTTTGTTGTTTTGTTTTGTCTTTAGGTTCGGGGAGATGTATTTTGATGTTTTGGAGATGGAGTCTGGATCTTGCTGATTAGGCTAGGCTGGATGGCCAGCAAGCCCCAGATATCTACCTGTTTCCATCCCCATGTTCTGGAATTGTAAGTATGCACCACCACACCCAGTTTTTATCACCTGGGTTCTGGAAATCCAATTCAGGTCCAAATGCATGCATGGTAAATATTTTATTGACTGAGCCTCCTACCTAGCCTTTCGTCAATATTTCTAAAAGGATAGATGGATGGATGGATGGATGGATGGATGGATGGATGGATGGATGGATGGATGGATGATGGATGGATGATGGGCAGATGGATGAGTGATAGATGGATGAATGATGGATAGATGATAGATGGATGATGGATAGAGGACAGATAGATGGATGAATGGATAAATGGATGATGGATAAAGAACAGATGGATGGGTGGATGGATGGATGGATAGATGATGGATAGATGGGTGGATAGATGATGGATGGGTGGATGGATGATAGATGATGGATGATGGATAGAGGACAGATGGATGGGTGGATGGACGAGTGAATGATGGATAAAGGACGAATGGATGGATGGATGGATGAATGATGGATAGATAATGGATGGATAGATGGGTGGATAGATGATGGATGGGTGGGTGGATGGATGGATGGATGGATGATGGATGGATGGATGATGGATAGATAATGGATGGATAGATGGGTGGATAGATGATGGATGGGTGGATGGATAGATGACAGATGAACATATGTATGAGTCAGAGGTACAGCTGGTGCTAGCTCTTCAAAGGCACATGATAATGAACTCGAAAAAAGCCTTAGCCATTTGGATAATTTATCAAATCTGAGATACAACGTAGCCTACATTTCCTTCCTATTTCCTTTTCTGATGTTGTGAACAAATGGAACAACATATTCCTGTGTACTGTGGCCCAGCCTCTGAGGCCTTTGCACACACCCTTCTCTGAGACACTCTTTGTGTTCCTGGTCTCCACTTGTTCCCAAATCTTTTCTAAACAGCCATCACCTCAGCCTGCACAGAAGTCAACAAATCTCAGATAAGACCCATAGGCCTGGGTAGGCAGCCTGTTACCTTCTATGGAGCTTTTCATTTAATCTTTTCACTAATTCTACCAACTCTGTGAGTTAAGATAGGATAGGGTGACATGTATTCATTCTTTGCATGCATTCTCTCTCTCTCTCTCTCTCTCTCTCTCTCTCTCTCTCTCTCTCTCTCTCTCTCTGACACACACACGTGTACGTGTGTATGTGCGTTTGTGCATGTATGTGTATGTGTATGTGTACTCTATGAGATGCTCCAAGGGCTTCAAGGTCTCAGGACTCACTGGCTAAGATAAGATATTGCTGCTGTCATTTTTCTGATTCATCCCACTTCTCCTTAAAGAACTGTCTGCGCTTTGAGAAGCACCCTGCCTTCCACGGTTCCACATGCGCAAGCTGACTGGGCCCATGCCTTCCCTGCATTTGTGACTTCTCATCACATTCTACTCTCTGCAGCCCTCGGCATAGACTACACCTTCCTCCTTGAAGTGCTCTTGGCTTTGGGAGACCCTTTCCCTTCTTATTTCTCTGATTCCATCTGTCCTCGACCCCTCAAAGCCAAGAGCTGGGCCTCTGCCTTGGCTGCTCTGCCCTGGTAACCACAGCAGTGGACTTCAGCAGTTTCTACCATTTGCTTTCCAGCCTGATAAAAATCGTGCTTTTGTTTCACTTGGAGGGAAAACTGACTTCAGCAAATCTCCGTCCCCATGGGTGTGCCTGGGAGGCAGCAACAGACTAAAGGCCCCGTGTTCAGATGGAGTCAGCTAAGACAGGCTGCCGCTTACCCACGGAGCTCTAGGAACACTTGGCTTCACCTCAAGAGCACCGCACAAACAAAAGCATTCTTAGGGGCAGAGAGATGGTTCTGTGTTAAGAGCACTGGCTGCTCTTCCAGGACCCCAGTTCAATTCCTGGCATCCTGTAATCCCAGTTCCAGGGGAGCCAACACCCTCCTCTGGCCTCAATGGGCATGCGTGCACATGGTACACACACATACATGCAGGAAAAACACTTGTACACATAAAATAAAATAAACAAATATTTAAAGCAAGAAGCATTCTTAAAGGAACTTGGAGAGAAATGATTCAACCTACCATTCTTCTAACTGATGCTGAAATCAGAGGCCAGCTCCAGAAATAGGTCGGGGACTCATCTCCAAGAAAAATCTACAGAAAGCCAATAAGACTATGAAAAGACCCATCGGTAGCATCCATCATTAGGAAATTCAAATAAAATCTGCAGTGTAAGTGTTCTTCCCTCATTAAAGAGCCATAATCCAACAAAATAGTAATTAACTA